GAGTTGACAGAAGAAGGGCCTAATTATCTTTGCATCTCGAGGCAGGAAAGATGGGTGTACTTGGTCAGCGATACCTAGGGAGGATGGACTGCATACTAGTGACAGCAACCCGCTAAGGCCAAAAACTCTGAATGGGCATTGCCTCAGAGCGTTTGTTTGCAGGCACCGCGAACGGAACAACTTGTTGCAGGCACATAGGAATGCAGCGCAGAGACTTCCATTAGGCCCCGAGACCCTAAAAGCGCCACAGCTTTTTTTGCCGTCGCCCTGTCTGTGCATGAAGCCATTGAAACGCTGCGCCGTAAAATGTTGGTGTGTCCCGGTCATATCTGTATCTACACGTGTAGAAAATCTATACATAATCAAAAGATCAATATGTCTATATACATATATATATATACACATGCAAACACATGTACCTATACGTGCACTGTACCGAAAATGCCATTGCCTTGTGGTCTAGTTGCATGCAAGGTTTACGTATCCTTGCCTCTTTGCAGGGCTGGCTGAACCGGCTGCCCCTGCAGCAGCTCTGAGCAAAAAAGACCAAAGCTGGAGAGGGACCAACAGCTTCTGATGGATGGCTTGTTGCACCACCTTGGTCGCTGCTTTTGTCTGGGAAATGTCATCATTTTCTGGGAGATTGGACAAGCATTTCATCACATTCTCCCAGTCATAGTCACGAATGCAAACGAGACGAACAAAGTGTATCCAGCCCTTTCGCAGCTCGCTTTCCGCATCGGTACCAAGGCGCCACTGGGCAAACGATGACCCACTGCATTCACGGGTGATATCACTGCACAAAGTCATGAGCTCATCGACATAATCGTCGCAGCTCTGGTAATCTACTGAATCACACCTGTCCAGCATCTGGCAGAACTGCTGCTGAGTTGCTTCACAAAGCCTCTCATGATCTGCACCATGACATAAGTCTCTGAAAACTGGCTCTAGCAGGCTGAAGGTGTAGTCCGAGTCGAAGCTGAAGACAGGTTGCCGCTTAAAAGTCTGAGCGCCTTTCTCCCAGCTCCTGCACCGTTCCTCCAGCGCACTTGTAGTGAACACCATGGCTCAACCCAGTGCTCCCTCTACCTTGAGCTGCAAGTCCTTGCGGGGCCACAAGTTTTTGCAGTCTTCTGAGAGGAGCGCTAGAGAAGGCCTGGCTACTGAGAAGTAAAGAAGACGGAACACTTACAAACGTCTGCATGTCCATGAATATTCGTTTCTATATGTATTTATGTATGTATGTATGTATGTGTGCATGTAATGCTCAGTCTGTGTGTGTACATATATATATATATAAATATATGTATATGTACATGCATATAGATGTGCAAATATATGTATTAAAACTGTGTGTCTGCACCTGATTTATGAGTTTAAAAAACGTATGTGCGTGTGTCAATAAATATGTATATATATATATATGTATATATATATATGTGTAACGTATGTACGACGAAAGTACAGGGAGTGAGAGAGAGCGAGAGAGACCAATAGCTTCAGACATGGCCTCGTGAACACAGAGATAGCTTTCTTCTACGATAATCAGAACTCTCTCGCTCTGACTCTCTTTCTCTCTCTCTCTCTCTGTATAGGTGGCAGTGTCAGTGTGTGTGTGTGTGTGTGTGTCAGTGTCAGTGTGTGTGTGTGTGTGCGTGTGTGTGTGTGTGCGTGTTCTGCTTTGTACCTAGGTGGGCTTCGGTGTGTATCTACATTAAACGTGCATCCACATTAAAGGCGTATACCCTTCCAGATGAGAACCTTGCCTGCGGATGTAGTTCACCGACGAGTCCCAATTGCCTGCAGTGCAAAACCATGGACGGAGAAGCGGTTTTGGGCTCTGAAGTTCTTTGAACCCGGGGCTTGCGCATTCTCACATTCCGCGAACAAAGCTATGCCAGGGGTCATGGAAGAAAATTCGGGATCATCCCAGGGTGCAATGATGATTTACGATTTGGAACACGATCCAATCGGTGGAGAAGCTTCTTCGACAGCACCGAATAGGCAAGCTTGGTGTTGCAGAAGCAAAGGAAATTTGCACATTTAGATTTGCACATGTATATGCACATAAACGAGTAAACTCGTATGTGTATATATATATACACATACACACACCTACATGTCTATATATGTATGTATATACGTTTACAATATGTGTATGTATGTGTGTATATATGCATATATATATATATATGCAGACATACATGTATGTACACATGCATGATTACTAATTGTTTGCATATGTGCCACTCATCCACGACCAATCTTGCTCTTGCAACTTCGTTGAGGCGGGCATGCAGTGTGTACTGCTTGTTCATTGATAGTTCTCTAATTTAGAGTCTCCAGTCCCTTTTTTAGGTCCCCCGACATAGTACGGCACCCTCATAACAAGGACCCGAAAAGGGACCCTAATCTCGAGAACTACCCTCATTCCTTCCAAAGCATAAACCCGGGAAGAACTGGACCGATCTCCAGGTCCGACTTTGCGACCCGTAAGCTACGGAAGCTTGACATAGGGGACGTCATAATTACCTATACTATTTTTGTTTTTGGGGGGGAGGGGAGGGGGTTCCTTGTTACAATTAAAGTATAATTGGCACCAAAACCCTATTCTAGGCATTAAAGCCCCTATATTCGCAGCTCTTTGAACAGAAAGGGCTCTACTTCGGGGTCGATATCGGGGTCCTCGGTTTTCTGAGACTTCCATAAGCCCGTTGTTGAGATCCTGGCGCGGATGCAAAGCGCTCTGCGGCCGCGCAAATGTCCTTGTGCGTCGAGTCGCTCCTGCGCTCAGGGTTTAGGGCTTCATATGTGTATAGGTGGTATGTCTGCAACCCACGAAGGGTCCCATCCACACATATTCTGCAGAGCTTTGTGGCAAAGCCGCAAGACCTGAAATACGCCGAAAATCCCCTCAAACCCAAGTCGCATAGTTGCACTTTGTCACGAGATCTTCAACAAGCCAGGACACCCTAAACCGTGTGCCCTGAAACAGTTGTCGCGTGTCTCTGGGCCTCAAAAGCAGCAACCGATGCTCCAGCTGTTGCTCGTTGCACTGGCCTCGAGCATTAGGGATTTTTGGATTTCGGCAGCTTCGTGCCGAGGGCATTCTCCGGAAAAATCTACCCCAATGCCACGTCTAGCAATCTGATGCGATCTGGGCGTGCAGCTCTTCGATTCCGCCAGCATCCACTCCACTGCCTGCTCTGCGTGGATCTTTTAACAGAAAGGTCAAGCCCAGACGAAGTTCAATACTGTCGCGCCAACCCAAAGACCTTTGAAAGCCTGAAATCCCCACCTTCCGCCCTTCAAAGCCTCGGCCCCCGGCACCCACTTAAGTTACCTCAATAGGGATCTATAGAAAATAATGAGGCCACAAATTTGAAAACCCTTAACAACAAACACCCTAAATCCTAAACCATAACCCCTAAACCCCTAAACCCCTAAACCCCTAAACCCCTAAACCCTAACCCTAAACCCCTAAAACCCCTAAACACCCCTAAACCCCTAAACCCTCGGGCCTCGAAGCCATTAAGACAGCAGCCCTGCGTCGAAGCGCCTCCCGAGCCTCTCCGGCTCAAGGCCACCCGCTCTTCAGGACTTCAGCTGGGGAGTTGAAGGGGTTTGTGGTTTAGGGTTTAGTATGGTTTAGGGTTTAGGGTTTGGGAGGGTTTAGGGATTCGAGCTTAGCGTTTAGGACTCTTCTGGACTTCAGCTGGGGAGATTAAGGGGCATTCAATACGCTTCCTTTACAGGCTTCTATCACGGGGGGTCTATCAGGGACCTATAGTAGGGTTCTATTTTAGGGGCCTTAATCATTACGGTAGGGTTTGGGGGCCCGTTTATTTTCTGTGGCTCATTATAATAGGGAACCCAGAATAGGGGGACCGGTTAGGATGGTTTAGGGTGTCGTCCAAGACCTCATTTTCCGTCTCCTCGATATCAACATCCCACCTTCATCTTAGCTAACCTTGTGCCATCGCGATCAGCACTGACATCTCCAATGTTGCATTGCGATCTTGACGATCGTAATCTTCGTGATATTGCACATGCTCATGTTGATGATGTTGCTGCTGTTGACGAAGATGACGAACTATGTAAATCATCATGGTCGTGAAGCCCTTGCAATGATGCTTCGAACAACCCTGTGTTCGTCCCGACATGTACCTACATTCGCAAAGAATCCGGATTTTGGGAATGCTTCTTCGACGCAGCAACACGCACTCAGCAGGTCTGCAATCGTTCTTCAGGGTTTTGCTGCAGCTCAACATTTTCAAGATCGGCAAACCTTCAATCTTCTATGGTCACAGGCATTCACCACACCTGTCTCCGTGCTCCTGGGTGTCGCAGCAGCTTTGCATGTCTTCTCGCTTTTGTCATACGAGCTGTCTACGCCGCAAGGCTCCGGGTGCAGAATACTAAAACCGAAAGTCTGGGGGTTCTTGGTGCCCGTCCCTCTAAGGCTTTACACTTCCATGCGTCGTGACTTGTGCCTGGTAAGTGTTGTCACAAACCGCCTTGCGTTGGCTAGCAAGGGATCAGAGTTGACCCTCAGGCAGGGCCCAACTCTCCAAGATATAACCGATCCGTCCCGACCCCTCAAACCCTAAACACTGAAGCTGACATACGGGCCTTAATAATTACAATAGGGTTTCGGGGCCCATTATACTATACTCATAATCAGGAACCCCCCAAAATAGTATTGGTACCTATTAAGGCCCCTGAAGCTACCTGGGATCCTGACCATCCTCGGCGGCCAAGAGAAGTGGGTGCTTTGCCCACAAGGTCACCCTTAACGCCTCGCAGCTTCTCTACTTCATGGTCAGGATAGCATTAAAAATACATACCATACAAATATGACATGTTGCCCAACTATGACAAAGTTCTGGAGAAGGAAGCTCATGCGCTCTTGGCTCAGATTTGGGAAGCTTAGGATTCGGGGGTCAGGGCCATAATGGCCTCCGGGCTGGGTGTCACTGGCAGGCGATGTAGCGGCATTCTCAGGCCTGCCGGAGCTTTTTCTCACGAACGCCTCGGACGGTACAGAGACATTTCGCTCTTGGCAAAGTACGTAACTTCGCTTTAAAGTGTCTCTGCCCGCTCTACTGTCAGGTTTGCTCTCACGTCACGCACACTTCGGCCGTGTCAGTTTTGTGATTTGTCCATTGCTGCCGCAGGTCCTCTGGGCAGCTGCTGAGACACATCCATTGGCAAGCTATTTCATCCTAACGAACCCCAAATCCCACAAGAACCCTGGAACTCTCAACAACCGTACCTGGTTCATAGATGGTGACAAGTTGCCGTCCCGCTCCGGTGTGTAAACCACCACCTGAAGACTCATTGATGTCAAACTTATTAATACTCTAGAATCTAGAACGCCTTAAAAACTACAAGGACTCACATGCGGTCCAGGCCTGGGCTTTAGCGTGTGATCACGGGAATAGCGATACAAGCCTGTGGCTCTCGGCACCTGATACTCTTTTAAACCATTTGCTGGAATTCCGAAGGCAATGTAAAGCGGAAGGCAGCGAACACCACCACTGCGTGAATCTAAACTCTCCACATAGCCTCATGCTACTCCTGTTAATGGAATATTCACTGAATTCATCACTTCATTGCCCGTGCGTTTTTAAGCCACGTACGAAAACCCATATAGTTATGTACGCACAAACCTAAGCAAGCGCACGTGGTTCACATGAACATCATCTACCTAGGCATGTATGTGTACCTATCTGTCTATCTACCCATCTATGCACTGATCTAGCTATATACCTACTTGCCTGCCTGCCTAGATAGCTAGCTTACCACCATCTACCCATCCATACGTCTACCTGTCTATCAACTACATACTAATACCTACCTACTTATCTATCCATCCCTCTGCGATCTACCTATCTACGTATCTCTCTGTCTCTCCGTCTCTCTGTCTCTGACTTTCTGTATATCTATCCGTGCATCTATCTACAAGCGAGTTGTCAGCCTATCCTAGTACACATGCCTGTACCTGCATATAGATATCTAGCTAGCCATAGGTATGGTAGGCAGGGAGGTAGGTAAGCTAGGTATATAAGCACGCATGCATATTAGACTCACCCACGCATGAGTCTCGTATCTTGCTACTGCATGCGCACGTGCGCACGCGCACACACACACACACAGGCACACACACACACACACACGCGCACACACGCACACCCACACACACACACACACACACACACGCTGAGACAAAAGCTACAAACTCATGTCTGCCTCTGAGACAAGCGCGTCCAAATTTTGATAAAGTGAATGTCCTAACCTCTGCCTCTGGAAACCCATTTGTAAATGCAACAAACCAATTCATCCAAGTATACAACTCCTGAACCCACCGAATATTTGTATAAAAACCTCGGAAAAAGAACGACTCCACGAACACTCAATCCTGCACCCCAGGGATCCAGCAAAGGTGTCTCTGGCTGCCACGGGGGCCTCGGTGCCTTTGGGCCTGAGAACCAGCAGTGGCTTAGGGTTGAGAGCTTCGGGGTTAACGAGTTTAAAGGTTTAGGATTTGGGGCGCAGAACTTAGGATTGATGGCTCCTGGTTCGGGGGTCAGGGGTGATATTTCAGGTTTCACGATTTCGGGTCTACAGTTGTGGGTTCTGTACTGCCCAGCAAGTCACTGCGCTCAAGAGTACCAGGGTTGTTGCATCTGCACCACCGGACCTTAACGGCATTCACCTGATTTGATGGTTTGATCTTGGCAACCCTCTCTGTAGCTTGCATCTGGCATTCCATGACTCTTTCGACCAGGACTTCGCGTAATCCAAGCGGCACTATATACTCCATACCGAAAACAGCTGACGACCCGTCGGCTTCTCTCCATGGTTACATTCGGCGGCTTCCTCCGCTTACAAACAGCTGCACGACCGGAGTCCCATCCGCACTTACACAAGGCAGCGTCAGATGGGGCCTTCTTCAACACTCGTTTTAGGAAATGGTTAGGGGTACCTTATTTTGGGGTCCTTGTATAAGGATCCTACTACTTAGGGTACTATATTAGGGTCCCCTATTGGTTTAGGGCTGCAAGAGCGGACAGGCTGTGATTCAGGCTGCTGTCGCTGCCTCCACAGTGACCTCCTGCGCAAAACTCTCCGAACTCTTTGTCAGAAACCTTGTCCTACTGTTGGTGCCCAAAATCCTGCATGACTTTGAACACCCCTACGGCTCCCCTGCTACCCTTAATTTCAATATTCACACGGGCTAGAAACAGGGCTTGCGCGAATGCCCTAAAACCGGCATGATTTCGTGGGGGATGCAAGATTGAAATTAGGGGGATAGCGCGATATGGAGTATGTAGGATATGGGAGTTTCCGAAAATGGGGAACCTCAATATAGTACCCTAACTAGTAGGATCCTTGATATATAAGGACCCCAAAATAAGTTACCCCTAACTCTTATATTGTGGGGTCATGCAGATCTTGAGCTCGAAGATCGGTCCTTCCACCTTTGCCAGCACGCCCAGCCTGCGGCCGTGCCTGGCAAGCCCACCCAACTAACGGGCTACCTTACTATCGTCACCCATAGGGCCCCATAGTAGTTCCTTTTTGGGGTTATATGTAGAATCCTCCTATAAGGTAATCCCCCAAAAAAACTATTACGGGGTCTATGGTTAATGACGGGCAACAACCTTCGCTATAACTATAGGCAGCTGAGGTGACTTGGCCTCTCATCTTTGCAGCATTCGTGACACGGTTCTCAGCGGCATCCGAAACTGTTACGAACATCGGACATGTATCGGCCCCAAGCCTCAAACCCTGAACCTAAGGGGGCCGACGAGCTCTTGGTTGATTAACACCATGCAATATGACATGAGATAATACACTGTACAAAAATACACAATCTATCATGCAACATAGTAACTGAAACAATACAATTGTAACACAGCATACAATATAGCATGATATCATGCGCCTCTTTCTCCGCCATCTCGCCGAAGCCGGCAGGCACTGCTTTCCAGCCCGGGATCTCTCGGCAGTAAACACCTCAGAGGCTCACCAGAGGTCAGGCGAAATATAGGGGCCTTAGCAGTTGAAATAGGGTTTGGGGGTATACTATACTATGATTGCAATATAAGGAACCCCCAAAATGGTATAGGCAACTAATTATTCAGGACCCTCTATTAGGGTGCAGGGTTTCATAGGGGCGAAGAGTTTCGGGGGGTCAGGGTCTATAGCGGAAGAGAACAAAGCGAGCCAGCAGCAAAGGATAACATTAAAGGATACCTAGGGTTGACGCGACTAACGACCGTGGAGTTGAGCAAGTCCTATGGACTTGCGGATCATCACAGGTAAAGGTCTAGTACTGCGACAATCAGAGTCTAGGACTTGCTAGGTGGACCGGCATTCAGCAACTTTCGAACAGATCTGTACTACCAAGCTATGTCCAGAACTGCAAAGAGTTCTGAGCGGCTGGCCAAGTTCGCGCAATCGCGCCACGAAGGCTTTGCCAATGCGAACTTGGTCGCTTTGCCTGATGAACGGCCATGTGCCCAACCCAAAATGCCGCATCTCGATACAAGATTTCTCGCTGGCACAGAGACAGGGAAGCCAAGCTGCGAAAAGGCAACACAATGTCACTACCGTCCGTGGGAATGCACTCTTGAAAATTTTCAGATCGGACAGCGCATCGGACATCAATCCGAAGAAGCGGTACTTTTCAATGAACGGCTTTCATTGTCTACAGCCTGTCTAGCTCATCTCCTCAAAAACACCAGCCAACTACTACTTTAGTCTCGGAGTGGGCCAATAGATGCAACAACCATTGCCGCACTCATTGCACTCCTTGGTTATCACGTCTGGCGGCAAGTTCGGTCGAGATGCCGGTGTCGCGTAAAGAAGGCACGGCCGAAAGGCTGAGAGAACGTAGTCCGCTCTTTCCTCGACTTCTCAGGTGCTCCATAAACATGCACAAACGCCCTGAACTCTGAGCCCCCAGGGTTGCTGAGATGAAGGGTTAGGATTAAGGATCCTATGACCTATGATTTTGCGGAATACCACAGGTGTCATCATACCGGGTTTCTACAAGGGGCCTTTATCCTACAGGCGTCTCTGTTCAGTTCAGGGGGACTGCAAAAACACGGCTTGGAGTACTCCGAGGACCTGGGCAAGTGCGAACACAGGATCAGAGGCCTAAGCAGGGTGAACAAGACATAAGCGACATGTGTGTATGTATATTTTGTGTATATATATATATATACATTTGTCGATCTGTTTGTTTGTTTATATATACACAGAATGATAATTTGATGTCGTAGTATGTGTGCATATGAACATATGGACGTATGCACACGTGGAGAGAGATGCAAGCGCACACACCACACGCGGCTTTTCCTTGTGCCGGTTCCCTTGCATACACATGGAGAGCAGACCGACAGACGGCTTGTTTCCTCTAATTAGATCGTATGCATACCCACTATACGGCAATGAACATGGCTGCCAATCTGGCAAACTCACCAACTTTAATCAAACCAATATTGCCAGCCAATGTGCTGTGCAATCTTCACGTTGGCAGACGCCATGCAAAGCGCCACTTGCCGCGCTTGTTGCATCAATATCCTGACATAAAGAAGGCGTTCCAACTAGAACTCACGTTTTCATGCTTGCGAAGCAGCTATAATTACGAACGGCACACCACGATGCCTACACTTGCATGTCAGCGTGGCCACACAAAGGTGCCTGTCTGCAGTGCCAAGCTGGGCATCCGGAAGCAGGGAAAGCATGTCTCCAAAGCCTGTCCGGGCCGCTCCGGGGTTTAGGTTCTAGGGATGTTTGGGGGTTTAGTTTATCAAAGTCTAGGCCTCTAGGTTTGACTGTTCGGACAACGGACTACGGCCAGCAAACGGCCCGGCCCTGATCCACTGACTGCTTCCGCCCGAGCGCATCTAGGATGCCCAGTAACCTAGGAATAAAAAGGGCTCCCTTTTCGGTATTGGGTAACTTTATATAGGGAACCTAGGACTACAAAAAGGGAATAAGGGTACTACTGGGCATCCTAGGCATTGGCCTGGTAGTTGCATGTCCTGATGGGGTTCCATGCATCGGGCGACGAGAGCAGCCCACCTGGGAGTTTCAGGAACGACTTAATGACTTAATCCTAGTATAGCAACTCAAGTCTTTATTAACATCAGGACCCCAAAGTAAGGGACCCGAAACCCGACATTTTAAGCCCTCAGTAGATTTCTGAAGCCACACCCTAGCCGAAACTGCAAGGAAGGCTGGCGCGGGAGGACTTCGTCAGCGCCGGCGAATTCCTAGAAGCCCACAGACCTACGGACTTACGGGTTGCGATAATACGACAGCTATATCAGCCCTGATCCCTGAACAATTGCCTACATGTCTATACTATAATTATAATATATATATATATATATATATATATATATATATTACACATACATACACATAAGCTTCCGCACGATGGGTTTAGATCTGTACATGTGTATCTATATACACACATACACAAAAAAACATGGATTTGTATCTGCACACACACACACATATATATATATATGTAAACCAACTTCTGTTTGGTGGATAAGTCTACTACAGCAGGGTACCTAGGGACAGTAAGCAATTCTCTCAAGTTCGTGGCTAGTTGGGCTTATACGGCTCTAGGGCAAGTGGAATGATGTGCTGAGGGTCGGCAGCTCAGCTCAAGACGCAGTTTGCAGGAGGCACCTGCAGCATCAGTAGGCTAACCCTAAGGCTCAAAATCGCCCAAAAGCCTTATATCAAAAGCCTTCAAACATGAGTCCTTAGCGCCTAAAGCTAAGCATACGGGCTGCTTTTTTGCATACTCTAAGGGTTTCGGGGTAAGGCTTCAGGGTTGTATAGGGATCGGGCGGCCAGACTTGCACCGGAATTCCGACACCCCAGCAATCCTTGCAAGAAGCCCAGAGACTCCAATATCGCTTAATTAAGGAAGATTCGTTAAATCATGTTAGGGACCGTATACTATAATTTACGGGATATTCCTTAAATCATATTCGGGATCCTACTATAGTTTAAGGTCTATTCCTTAATTAGGGGGTATTAGAGCCTGCTAAACCCTATAAACCCTATACTTCCTTAAAGGATCCCTTAAAGGGGCCCTAGGTCCCTAGGTATTCCTTAATTGAGGGATCTTGGAGTCTCCGGGAGCATGGATTTCCAATTTCCGGGCCTTGCACGTATCGACCCATGACCGGCCTGGCTCACTGGGATTTTAAGGATCAGAGTTTAGAGTTTAGGGTCACTGGGCTTTTCGGGATTATAAGGATTAATTAAGGGTTCCGGATTTAGGATGCTCACTCTGATTTTAAGGATTCCTGCTTTAGAATAGGCTTCCTTCAACGGGGTCTATAAGTGTTACTGTACGGGTGCTGTAATGCAGGGGCCTTAATAATTAGAATAGGGTTTTGGGGCCCACTATGCTATACTTATTATAAGGAACCCCCCAAAGAATATAGGTTTTGTTAAGGCCCCTATTTTAAGGGTTCCGGATTTAGGATGCTCTCCCGGCGTTTTTCGGGGTTGCACCCATGTATACCCATGTACTTTCACAGAACATTATTTCTAGGAGACTTGCAGCAGTAATCATATCTGTCAAAAGGAAAACATGAGCAAACGGAGGAGGTAAATCACATTCCGGACGTTCAGGTCTCTTAATCCTGGTGAAGGAGCCAGTCTTGCAAGAACAGTCATCTTGACAGAGTGAAAAAATGTTGCGTGGGAGTGGTATTGTTCTGCTCGTTATCTAGCTCCAAGTTTCTCGTACGATTGGCCAGACTTGCCAGATTTTAGCAGGCAAGTTTGCCCTGTAGTTTAGAATGCGGAAAGCTCTGCTTACCCACCCTGCGCAATCGGAAGAATCAGATGCCTCCTCAGCGGTGCCGTTTGGCGCAGTCGAAGACTCTGCGACATGCTTCCAGAGAGCCTGCAGGGTATAATTTTGTATAGTATAGTACATTCGAGTATAGTATAGTGTATTATATCTTGCCCTCTCTCGAAAACTGCGAGATGAGGTCGTGTATTATCTGCTGCTCGTTGACTTCATGAACGATTACAGAGTCATTGTCTATCACTGCGTGTCGTTTGCACATGAACCGCATGGTGTACTATCCGTGCGACCGCACCTCGGCAAGCTGATTGTCGATGGCACCCAGGAAACCCAAGCCTGTGGCCACGTCTGCAGCCTGAGGGCTCCGAAAGCCAGAAAGGGCCGTGGCAGCAGCTCTGGCGAGTTCCAGAGCCAGAGGCCGAACCTCCAACAGGATCGCCTCGTTCTCGGAGGCCGCGAGCCGCAGCTGCCGGCAAATTCGGGGCACGAGGGAGCCGGGAAGGCCCATTCTGGCCACCCGAGGGTCCAGCTTCCGCAAGATGTTCAAAACCAAGGGCCAGCGAACGATGTCGGCCTTAGCGAGCAGGAACAGGACGGAGAGCCTCCAGAAGTCACTGCTGTCGAGCTCTTCCACAACAGGGGCCCAACTCGTGGAGCCAGTCTTCAGTTTGGACACAGAGGCTACAACATTTTGATAGAAGGCAGGCTCCCCTGCATCGGCTGCAGCCAGGCAGGCAGTGAGCTTCACCAAGGTTCCCGTGTCCGGCTCTGGAGGCAGGTGTGTCAATGCCCGGACAACGGCCTCGGCAGCTGGGCCACTCAAGTGTCCCGTGGAAGCCAGTGTTGCGACGAGCTCTTGGAGCTGTGGAAGCTGTAGCTGCCCTGAGCCGCCTACATCTTCAGCAGAGCCACTTAGCCACTGCGCAGCAGCTGCCGAGAAGTTCGGGTGCGTGAAGCCTGCGGCCGCAAAGTACCGCAGGATCACGAGCCATTCGGCAACTGTGAGGTCCTCCACGAAACGTTCGGCACTGCTCGCAAGGGCTTCGCAAACATCGATGGAGAACCACCCCACCGCCTCCAGGCGGTAAGCCAGGAGGGCGGCCTGCTTGGAGGTCAGCACGCCGTGCCGCGCAGAGTCAGTTGCTGCGGCCGCAAGCCTTGCCAGCTGCTGTCCGTCACAGGGCTGCGTCAGCACCCGCAGCTGCTGAAACACATCGCCAGTGTTCCCCTCCGTGAAGCTTCGGTGCTTCACCAGGCAGGGACGGCACAAGACCGACCACCGTCGCACAACCAGGGGCACAGGGAGCCGCATACTGCATCCTAGCGCCTTTGGCCATGATCAGCGGGAGACGAAGTATTAAGACAGTCACCACAAAAGGTCTGGAATCGCACGGGGCACAAGGAGTTCTGGAACACCACTTTTTTATTTTTACAGAAAGACGGTTCTTCGAGAGCTATGATGCCTGACTTGCATATGCACTGGCAAGCAAGGAGCCTCTGGGATTGTTACAGATGTTTGATACAACGATGAATCTTGCTACCATCGTGTTGTTGTTACTACTACCTTGTAACCTACCGAAACCTACTTTTTTGTAGCTAGGTTCTTATTATGAACCCTAATACCATGAACCCTAATGAAGGTAGTCATTTCTATCATGGTGATTATCGTTACAAGCCAGGCTACCATGTTTCCGAGCCAAAGCCAAGAGCGCTTCATCTGAGCCGGAGGACACATGAACGCAAAGGAAGCCCGTCTCCACCGTATGGTTCTTTGACGTCTTACAAGGAAGTCGCTTTACAAGGGCTTAGCGTCGTAGCAATTGTACAATGTATTATAGGGTGTTCGGATTTGGGCTTAAAGTGCATGTATATAAGATCAACAATATCCTGTTGGGTTTTGTAATCGTCTGCACCTGGTAGAGCTGCACCTTTTAAGTCTGGGCGGAAGCACTGTTACATGCAGTGGTATCATGCACAAGTCAAAAGCACCACATGGATGGAATGAGGTGACGTCTGTTGATCGGTATGCAGTATACCGATATCGGGGCTTAGAACCTAATTTAAAACCTGTTGTGACAACAACCAGAGCAAAGAAACACAATCCTGAGGGTTCCTTGCTATAAATATAGCATAATGGGGCTCAAAACCCTATTCTACTTATTAAGGCCCCTATATTGAACCTTAGCCAGCACCAAGCACTGCTTCTTGGTGCCTCCAAGATCCGTCTCCTGGCACAGGTCCCGAAGAAAGAGTCCGTAGACTTCTGGAATGCGGGGGGGGGGGGGGGGGGGGGGGCTGTTAGGGCTTTGGGTTTAGGGCTCTTCGATTCCAGGCCTATAGGACAGATTGTGGCCACATTGCGCAGCTCCAACTATATACTACCCAGAGGCCCCAAAGTAGTTCCTTTTTGGGATTACCTTATAGTATTCTATATATGAACCCCAAAAAGGAACTACTATGGGGCCTATGGGTATCAGTGTGTTTACTTGCAGAATGTGTGTGTTTTGTTTTAACCCTAAGCCCAAACGAGACACTGACGTGAGCTGCCGTGTACCGGACCCTTTCAAAGAAACTACATACTGATTCCCTCGATGCATTCGGGTAGCACTTTAACAGAGTAGCCACCACATCTGCCGTTCTCAAACCGCCATATTGTATGCGACCATGCCGGCCAGCACTTAACCTTTCTGCCTCAAGCGGAACTTGAGCGCGGTTCCAGATGCCCTGAATGCTGAATCTCCGCAACCCTGCCCTTGAGGAGGACACTTTGGTGGCAGCCACGGGGGCTTTGCGGCGCGACCTGTCGTAGGCAGCGTAGTTATGACAACTTCAGGGAACCGTACTGAACTGCACAGATTAGCTTTCCAACAGAACCCAACACATAACAAGACGAAGCAGCTGCAAATGGCACAACAAGACTTCGTGCAAGCTTGGGCACATTCAACTTCCGATGCAATTCACCATGTCTGTTTGATTTTGCTTTGGCGCAGCTGCGAGCTTTCCAACTTCAGCTTGGTTATTGCAAGCTTGGCTGTTGGATTCAAGGCTGAGGGATTGCCCCCAAAACCCCCAAGGTTAGCCGACGATTCCCTGGCCAGCCCACCGTCAAGAATGAAGCTGTAGCGGTTTAGGGTTCATCGGCTCTAACTATTTCGGGGTGGAGGGCTTTTGATTTCGATCATGGTCTCTCTTGGTCTGTTCGGCTGAGTCAGCCGCATCTCTCAAACTAAGTCACGGGACCTACAGCATGTAGTGATCTTCCCAGCCCAGAGAAGACTCAAGATACTGACAAACCCTCCGATTACGTGGTAGAAGCTCTTGCTACACTGACCCCTCCGATCCTCTCTGCTGGATCTCAACTCGCCGAAGTCTGTCCCAAGAGAGCTTGGGGCCATGGGCCATGTAGGTTTATCGCGCGTCACCGCCCGAAAAAGGCTTCGCTAAGAGGCCAAGGAAGTCTCCAAATTGAGCGGCAGCGCGCGAATATGGGGTCTTAATGATTAGAGCCCTAAAAATAGTGTAGGTAACACTTAAGGCCCTAGATTACATCAAATCACCCGAAACCTCGATCCCGAGACCCGCAATCCAGCCCTGGCGATGGCCAACATGTCGGGACCACAATGTCTGCCTTGGCGAATCTCTGGAAACAACAAAACTCTATGCCACTATATTGTAGAACCCCACTGTAGATCCCTTTCAATGAGCCCTTTAAAGGGAGCCCTATTCTGCTTTACTTCTGTTCCCCGCTCCGGAGAGCTTTGACTCAGACATTGAACATGTAAAGAGGCAACAAGTCTCGCAATCGGGCCGCTGTTCGAAGAGTATGCGAAAGAGACAAGGTCTCACATCCAGCAGTCCCAACAACAACAAGGGCGACAGTGGCCGTACGAATACCACATGAAAGACAATACAAATGCACGAACAATTTTGGCAGCTTTGGTTTTGTGAGAACGATGGTGATAATGATAAGTAAGGCAAGGTCCTCGTGAAAAGAAGAACCACCAGACCGTCTTCTTCATCCAAGATGCATGTAGTCCTGCATCTTCTGAATTGCACGGGCAAGATCTTCCTTTCAGGCGCCACAAGATAAGCATTCACTCGCCTGACTGTTACTAAACGCCGTTCAGAGCCTGGCAGCTCTGGACTGTTGATGTTGGGATCAGCTGGGCTCGGGTAACGCCAAGTTCCACCCCACGATGGCTGCGGGAGTCTGGTTTCAAGTCGCATGGAGCCTTCTTAGGCAGGAAGTTGGCGCAGTGTCTGCTCCTGTTCTCGCTCCTGCTTTGTGCACCACGACCATGACAGCTAGTAAAGTAAGGATGACGAGACCAGGTGTCGAAGACGAAACACGTCGGGAGCCTGAGCAAGCCTACAAGCAAGGTAATTAGTCCCCAAGCCTGAAAATGCTCTGGCCTAGAAGCCAACCTTCAACGTCAACTAGTTAGTGACGAGAAACCCTCCAACAACTATCAAAGCTCGGTCCGAACAGACCTTGCCCAAGTCAGAATGCCAGCCCCCGGAGCGCATCAAACCATCGCAAGGAAACACACATATCAAGGCCCCTCCGGGTGTAGGTCCTCCTGCTCCGCAGCCTTAGATTAGTCTCTTTGGAAGTAAGGGCAGTGACGGCTTTTCGGCTTTCGGGTTTCGTGGAGCCCGAGGGTGCGCAAGGTCTTGATGTAAGAGGCTGGACAAGGGGAAGAGGGTATGTAATTATAAAGGAGCAAGAAAGGGAACACTGAATTATGCAGAGACTGATCCGGAAAACAATATCTACCGACCATGAGGAAATACTACCAATCTCAGCCCCCCTCAACTGAAACCCTAAACCCAGCTCTCCAAACCCAAAAATCCCCCCAAGGCATGGGTCTTGTTCGGTGCCTCGTCGTTTCGGGTTGTATAGGGGCTCGTAGGTCGAAGACTTGGGTCTCAGAAGCTCAGAAGATCCCCTTAAGGGTCAGGGATCTGTAAGGGTTCCTTTAAGGGTTTAGGGTTTCAAGGCTAAGTTACTATAATAATTGGGATTGGGGTGCAGGGTTTAGGGTTTAGGTTTGTAGCGTTGGCGTTATTGATTCAAGGGTCTTGGAGGTTCCTAAACGATTTCTATTGCATGCATGAAATTCAAGACGACTACAAGGAGAGACTGCTTACAGCAGAAGCCTAAAAAGTTGGAAACCCGATAGCCTCAATCCCTAAGAGCAAAGTAAAGGAAATCCCAGCAGGATTTGTCCTTCATTAGGTTTCCAACTTTTTGGATTTTACAATATAATAATAATAACAATAATAATTCAGGGCCGCATTTTTTCTGAGGGTGCCGCATCGTCGACAGCCTTCTCCTCCAAGACCCGCTTCAAGGGTGTGCCGTAGCCTGTTGGCTCTGCAGGCGGAGGGGTTGCTCTGATTGCCCTTACGAACCGAAGAGCCTACGTTCCAGAGACCATGACATGACTTAGCACAGTGAGCATCATCTTCGAGTGACTGAAGTGCTGACGGAAGCTTTCCTTTGATACTCTTCATAGGTCAGAAATGCATCGCCGGTGCCTGAAGGTAACAAAGAGTTGGTCCGAGATGGGCGAAGTGACCACCTCAACAGCCAAACAAGTAAAGGGTTTCGTAGCTACGCCAGATAACACTAAACTCATGTGCAGGCCAATGCAGGGAGGAAGCCGGGTGCCTGGATGGCGAAGGTGACAACGAAGGTCTCTGCCTCCGTCAGTGGGACAAGTTTAGTGTTTATACAGGGGATTACTTAAAAACTTATAGCGTTTATAGGGTGTTACTTAATAAGGGGGTCTATGACATGGGGCTGCAGGTGGTGACCCGCAGACCAGCCCCACAGGAACAACCACAAAACGAAGCGGCCAAGGCAGAGATGTTCCTACAGCCTAATGTGGGGGCCTGAACAATTAGAATCGGGTTTCGGGGTGGATGCGGGCGAAAGCCTGTCGACAAAGAGCGAAACGAAGGGCGACGTGTGCATCCCCAAAACATGTGTATGTAAATACGAAACCCCCAAACTAGTGCAAGTACCCAGAGGCTCCATAGTAGTTCCTTTTTGGGGTTACCTTATAGGATTCTATAGATGAACCCCAAAAAGGAACTACTATGGAGCCTCTGGGTACTTCTTAAATCTTACCCTCTCCGCCAAGCCGCAGGTCTGCTGGCAAAGACCTCCTGCGTCGTCTTGGAGGCTGCGGCCTGTGAAGCTTCGACTTGGAGAATTGGGGATGCTGGAGAGGACTCCAGTGAAGGATACTGACGTACATATTCATATGTATATACATGTAGGTATATATATATATATATACAGTA